GGGTTGTCCCAATCCTACCAATCTCGCATCCTAAGTTTCTTCCTCTCTAAAAAGGGGTGTAAAACATGAAAAAGGAGTGTGTTGCACCTTTAGGCATCCCATGCAACCATCTTATATGCCCAAGCCTTCTTTTCCACCAAAAGAGGTGGTGATCTTCAAAAAGGAGGTGCATAAAGTGGTCCTACCAAAAAAGTAAAAAATGAGTCTCTTAAATTTAAGAAATAAAAATACTTAGAAAAATCAAAATGAAGGGTGAGGAGGAGGCCTCCCCCTTCTAGTCATGCTCCTAGTGATGATTTTCTTAGGGATAACCTCTCCTGCCTCTAGGACAACTAGGGACTCATCATCAACACTCACATATTAGATGTCAAGGTGGATATAACTTGCTTGATCTATTGCATCATGGCAAGAGTGTTAGTGGATGTAGTTGATATCATTTATAATGAAATAAGGAAAATTATCATTCCAGCATTCTCTTTAAAGGGATTTGTCTAATCCTTGGAGTTTATAGGATTTATCATTAATTATGTAGAGCTAATGAGGTAAAGATATTGACCCATCCCATGAGAAATCTAAGACTTTTCATTAACTCATACGTGGAAATCCATTGTGCAAATGCTTTAGATCAAGTGCAAGGCCTAACTCTAAGACTAAGACCACCTCCTCAAGCCCAACCTATTGTTATTGTTGATTTATCTACAAGATTGTCCAACCATTTTAATCACTTATATTAGTAGATGACCACTCACCACAAGGCATACATCTCCTTAAATGAATCATTCTATAGATTGAGCATTCATTAACACCAAACACTAACAGAACAATTCCTGTGAATTTCCCTATAATAGTTTCAATAGGTAATAGCATGTCCTGGAAAAGTCCAATCCTCCCAAAGGAATGAGTGTTGTTGGTGTTGCTAAAGGTTTAGCGGAAAGAGGAAATTGTGAGAGGTAAAGACAAGCTAGGCAAGCCCATGGAAGAAGAAGAAGAAGAAGAAGAAGAAGAAGAAGAAGAAGAAGAAGAAGAAGAAGAATATGAGGAAAAGGAGGGTGAATAATGCTTTGATAGAGTTCTTCAGCCAAGAGAGGTAGTAAAAGAGGAAGAATCTAAAGATGATGATGAAGATGACCGTATTGGAAAATCCAAGTGTGAGTCTAAGGTTTTAAGTTAAAGGTTATGTCAATCCCTTATGTGGGTTAGACTTATGTCTCATTAGTGTTGTCTCTCCCTGGTAAATCCCCTCAAAAGACCCAACAGTAATATTATAGCTAATGATTTGTGTATTGACTAACAGTTTAAGATTTGTCTTTGTATTAAAAGTATTTTTTATAGTAGGTTAGGTAAGTGTGTCTCGTTATAATGAACAATGGTACATGAAAGGGATACTAGTAAGCATGAGGGGTGTACCAATGTGATGAGATTCACACTTGAGGGGGAGATTGTTGGAAAATCGAAGTGTGAGTCTAAGTCTCATATTATGTAAGAATAAGGAAGTTGAACAACATATAAGGAAAAAGACCCATAATCCAATGCTTTAAGGTTTTGGATTGAAGGTGGTATCAATCCCTTATATGGGTTAGACTTATGTCTCATTGTTATTGTCTCTCTCTAATGAATCCTCCTCAAAAGACTCAACAAACTGATGCTCTTTAAAACTGAGTGACAAGTTTTAAAATAGAATTCTTGCAATTTATTTTTTGTCTTGTAGTTTATCTTATTTTAGTTTAAGCACTTTTGAGCTTTAATTTGTATTCAACACTTTATTATCTTAGTTATGAGTTGTAAGACGAACATTTAAGCGATACGAGCTTCAACACAAGGTAAGACCATTACGAGGTAAGAAGATATGCGCTTTGAGGTTAGACATGAGTATCACTTTGGTGCCAATAATTATGGGAGGCACAAGCACTATGTTGTAGTTAGGGACAATTAGGTAGTGAACATAACACTACCAAGAGCTTGGGGTGGAGAGCCTTGGCACAATCGACTATTAGAGAGGGGTGAGGTTGATCATGAAGATTAGGGCATGAGGATGAATGAAATGAGAAAATACAATAGATAATTTTGGGAATGACAATGAGGCTAAGGACAAGGGTTCCAATTTTACCATAAAAATTTACTCATTATCCAAGAATTTGTACTCTCACTAAGATGTGACATTTTTTTTTTTTACCAAATCAAGTAGTATCTTTCATGCCTACGTGATTTATCCATAAAATGTATTTGTTTATGATATAAATTACCCAAGGAAAAGAATATGTGATAAATGCTTCATAAATAATTTTTTTTATATAATGATGAAGGAATGTAATAAGTTAATAAAACTCTAAATTCTTTTATCTACTAATTATAAAAGTTGAGTTTCAATTAGAGAAAAAGAAAACCTTTGAATATTATTACAATGGAACAAAAACTCTAAATCCTAAAAAAAAAAAAGAAATCATGAGATGAGAGAGGAAACTAAAAACAAAATTTTGTTTCCTTAACATGTAAAAAGAAAAATGAACCTTGCAAGTTATGTGAATTATGTTGCAATGGATGTGACATCTATCTATCTATCTATCTATCTATCTATCTATCTATCTATCTATCTATCTATCATATATATATATATATATATATATATATATATATATATATATATATATATATATATATATATATATATATATATATATATATTTATCTAACATTTTATTTTTTCATACTAAAGTTTGATAGAGATGACACATAATATACAAATATTTTGTCTATAGAAATATAATTTACATTACTATTTTTTTATACATATTATATAAAAGAAAAAGAAATTTTATTTAATTTTAATCCCTTATATTCTTACAACTATTATACATGTATTTATATTACTAGTGAGAACAAGTTGATTAAAGGATTATAGTGAATGACAGGGGCATACAAAATGTGACAACTATTGGTTCGTCTAAAATGATGAGAGATTTTATGTCAGATGCAAATGTCAAAATTGATAATCTCACCCCCCTAAAAGTACCTAAATTTAAATTGATATCTCCGTCTACTTAAGTTAATATTTTTAAGTGTAACATATACGGGATGTCACAATAGGAAAATGAGAACAATTATCATATAAAATAATATAATTTCAAAATGATATATAAAAATCTAATTTTCAACTTCATCATCATACTTCATTTATTTTATATTATGAAGATTTGAATTAAATTTATAGTGATTAGTCGGAATAAATGATTACAAATTTAATCACTCCTTAACCGATATTTACTTATTTCAATCCTTAAGGTCTAACATCCATCTACAATGTCACCAAATCTTCATAAATAAAATATTTTATTCTCTAAGAGACTTAACAAAAATTAAATAATATAACTATATATTAATAAACAATGATCAATGTGAAACGAGAGATAAATATAAATATAAAAGAAGACCAATGTGTGGAGGTAAATAAATAAATAAAAAATAGAATTAGTGCGCAATCGAAGATAAATAAATAAATATAAAATAAGATCAGTGTATAACTTGAGAGAAAATAAATAAATACAAAAGAATAAATAGAATGAGGTTAGAGATATTATATTCCCGAGTTATATTTAAAAATAAAATAGATATAATGATAAATATTTTTTCTCCTTACCCGACTAAATGTACAAGAGGATTAAAATATGATTATATATCATTTCTTTTTTTTTTCTCTCATTTCTTCTCTTTTTGTCTTTTTTTTCTCTCTCTCTCTTTTCATTCCTTTTTATACTATTTTTTTTATTTTTCATTTAATACAAACTTATCTCTTGTAGAGAAGGAATAAGTCTCTTATCCAATAACTAATTAATGTATTATTTAATTTATTATTATTAGGATTGTAGAGCTCATTTGAACTGGTTTAAAGAGGAAGAATGAAATCCTTTACAAAGAACGAACTTCTTTGTAGGGATCGAATTTCTTTATAATAATTAAACTTATTTATAAATACCAAACTCTTTTACTATAAAATATTATAATTTAATATAATATATTTTAAAAAAATACATTAATAAACTACAAAAGATATACAAAGCGATTTATAAAAAAGTCATAATATTTTAAATGTTATATAATTAAAAATTCCTATTTTTAACAATTACTTTTAAATAGTAATATATAAAATTATTTCTATTAATTAATAAACTAAAAACGATATATTGACATATCAAAATGAAAAACATGATTTGTATGAGTAAATTAAATTCTTTTTTCAAATTTTATTTTTATATGATTAAAATATATGGATAAATAAAAAATAATATATATTACTTTTAAAGAAATAAAGTTACATTCAAAATCAACTAACATCTAAAAGCTTAATTATTTTCAGATATTCTAAAAAAAATAGACTTTCATTATATATTTTAATTAGTTGATACAACAATACATAAAATTCAACTCATTATATTATATAATAACACAGTTGTGGTTGCTTCGATGTATAAAAAAATATTTCAAAAATTATAAATTTGAATAATATATACATTGTTGATTCTGAAACATAATATTTATAAAATATAATTTCCAAAAAATGGAATACTATAACATCGTAAAGCGAAAGAAGCTTTCACATTAAATCACTATCAAAAACCAAAGAAAGACAAATAATAAAAGCCGAAATGAAAGTAATGATTTAGTTTTGTATATCTTATACTAGTGTTTGTGAGTGGTAGGACATGAGCATGAGGATGAAGTAATGGGATGACTGAAAAAAAAAAAGGGGAAGAAGAGGGTGGAATGAGTATGCACACAATCCATGTCATGTAAGGATGAAGATGACACCTCACTCGAGAATTAAATTAACCGGGAAGGAAGGAAGGAAGTGAAAGGAACCCACACTTCCTTATTCCCTTCTCTTTCTCTTCAACCGAACTCTTTCCTTAACTCAGTATCGTTCTTCCTTTCTATATATTCTCTCAAACAAATTCACAAACACCTACAGTGCTTTTTTTTCTTGCAATCCTTGTGTTGTTGAGGAAATGGGGGACAACCACCACCTCGATGATAGCAGCGATTTCACCTCCGAGGACGAAGGCACCGAGGATTACCGCCGCGGCGGCTACCACGCTATTCGAATCGGCGACACCTTCAACGCCGGTCGCTATGTCATTCAGTCTAAACTCGGTTGGGGGCATTTCTCCACTGTCTGGCTCGCTTGGGACATCAAACATTCTGTCTGTTCCTCTCTCTCTCTCTCTCTCTCTCTCTGTTAAACTTTTTTGTTTTGATCTTTTCCGTTAAATATTTGTTCTAGGTTTATTCATGAAATGGTATTATTTTAGCCTTTTTGAGCTCAGTTGCGTGTTAGTCTGGTTAATTTCTAATCTAGAAACAGTGTAAGCGGTTACTGGCGTTTTGGCAGCGGTTGACACTAAATTAGGTGCACTTTTTTGGATTTTGTTGACTTGTTTTGCTTTTTTTTTTTGGTGTGTGTGGAGATCTGCAGAGATATGTGGCTTTGAAAGTTCAGAAGAGTGCTCAGCACTACACCGAGGCGGCCATGGATGAGATAACGATTTTGCAACAGATTGCGGAGGGAGACCCTGATGATAAGAAATGTGTCGTGAAGCTTTTGGACCATTTCAAGCATTCTGGTCCTAATGGGCAGCATGTCTGCATGGTGTTTGAGTACCTTGGGGACAATCTCTTGACACTTATTAAGTACTCGGATTACCGTGGGTTGCCTATCGCCATGGTTAAGGAGATTTGCTTTCATATTCTGGTTGGATTGGATTACTTGCACAAGCAGCTTTCCATCATACATACTGACTTGAAGCCTGAAAACATCCTGCTCTTGTCGATGATTGATCCATCTAAGGATCCTAGGAAGTCTGGGGCGCAGCTTATTCTTCCTAATAGTAAAGATAAGATGGTGCTGGAGTCGGCAGGTGTGAAAGATACGAAGATGTTGAATGGGGATTTGGTTAAGAATCACAAGAAGAAGATTAAGAGAAAAGCTAAACAAGCAGCCCATGGTTGTGTTGAGAAGGAAGCTTCTGAAGGACTTGAGGGTAATCCTGAAACTTCTGGGGCTGTCGAGTTGTCTCCAAACACGAATTCTGCAAGAGAACATGCTTCCACTTCTGCAGGAACTAGTAGGTTGTCAGATGCTGATGGAACAAAGTTGAAAGAGCAGGGTAACAAAAGAGGAAGCCGATCAATGAGACAGAAATTGCTGGCATCAGTTGATCTCAAGTGCAAGTTAGTTGATTTTGGTAATGCCTGCTGGACATATAAACAATTTACTAATGATATCCAAACAAGACAATATCGGTGCCCAGAGGTGATCCTTGGGTCAAAATATTCTACATCTGCAGATCTTTGGTCCTTTGCTTGCATTTGTTTTGAGCTTGCAACTGGAGATGTGTTATTTGATCCTCACAGTGGTGACAACTTTGATAGGGATGAGGTATGTGTAGTGTATTTGGTTTACTGAAATATTTATATGTTTATGTGATCATTCTGAGGAGATTATATCCTTACCAGTTGGGGGAATCAACCTATGTATTTTTGGTTAGCATATCCTCCTCTCCGCAAAAAATTAAGAAAAAAGATATTTTTGCGATGTGTCACTTTGGCTGTTTGATAACTAGATAGAACATATACTAGTATGGTAAGGTACATTTTATAGAGGCTGAATCAGCTGTACTAAAGTCCAGCATTGTTCATGAAATGGGCTAAAGGAATTGTGTGGCCCTATTCAAGTAGATCACGGCTACTCTATTTTTGGTTTAAATATGTTTCAGTCCTAGTAAATATGGTTAAATCTTGCTTTCGGCCCTCCAGTTTTTTTGTTGCTTTTGATCCTCATAAATATTAAAAGTGGTCCTTGTCCCCAATAAGTTGTAATATGATATGCATTTAGTCATACCATGTTAGTAACCATTCTAAGGGGCCTTGCAATGTGTGTTGAAAAGCTGCCATAATTGTAGTCACCCTTGACTTCCCTTAATTGCAGACTATCAGAGTTATTTATCTGTGTTTTAGAAAAGGGCTAACTAGAAAGGCTAATAAGCTTTGTATTGTTCAGTCACCTGGATGTTGACTCTGAATGGATTGAAATCCTATATTGATTAGAGACATGCCCTGTGTAGTTATTATAATGCTTTGGTAGTCTTCACCTTACAAGTAACTTTTTGAGGCTGATTTAGGTCCTCAACCCAAATTTTAAGATAGTATCAAATCCTATTCTAGATCCATGTTAGGAAACTACTGTTGCCACGCTTTATGCCCATAGCCCTGGGTATGAAGGGGTGTGTTGGAAGGCGTCCACAATTGTGGTTACCCTTACCTCACTGTAATCATGACCTATTACATTTAGTTGTCAATGTCTGATCAGCTAAGTGTGTAGTGTACGACCTCTAAGATATCAACTCTTGGTGGGTTGAGATTTCAATTTAACTAGTGTTATGACCAATAAATGGGAAAGGATAAGTTGCATCTTCTAAAATATAGAGAAACAGAGAAACGGGAAAGGAAACAAATTTTACGACAAAATTATCTTGTCTTACTAGGAAATATAGGATTAGGCATGTAAGCATTGGGAAAAAGGTTGGGGTAGCACATTATAGAAAAAAAAGGCAGAATTTTGTCTTAGTTGGTTTGGGCTTGTGTGGAGATATTTGTAAAAGGAGACTAGATAGATGGAGGGTAAGCCAGGTGTTAGTGGTAGAGGGAGTTATAAGCAGAGAGAGACAGGAAAACTATAGGCAAAACAATTAAGAAGTATTTAGAAGTCAATAATTTGCTTTTAGACATGGATGTGTTTGGGAAAACAAATATTTTACTGCTTATTGAATAAGAGTGTAGAGCACCTCCGACAGGAGATGCTTATTAAGGTGCTTAAGTCAAACACATGTTGCTTGAAACAACTATCCATTAGAAAAAATTGAATTGCCATTTTTAGTTGCTTAAATTTTTTGCAGTTGCTTCACCAAATAACAGTTGCTTATGAATAAAAACAAAAGAAACTTATTGGGAAGAATGAGTTTGTATGTGAGAAGAGAGTTAGTTTCACAAAGTAAATAAATTATTTTTAAATTAAAATATTGTTATGTATTATCTACGATTGAATTAACTAATTTTCATGAAAAAATTAACTTTTTCACCAACAAAATTAATTAATTGTTTCATGAAATAATTAATTGACTTTTAATTAATTTATATTAATAGCTATTATTATGTATCATAATCAAATCTAAATTAAAAAAAATATATATAAATAATGAGTTGCTTGGAGTTTCTTATAGTTTCTTCTATTGAAGCAAATTTGGGTATAAGTTGTGTAACAATGATGTGATATAATCAGACTCACACTTTACATTTTCTGATGTGGGAAACAACTTATCTGGGTTGCTTCCATTGGAGTTATCCTTATCATCAATTAGTTTTATAAAAGAGAAAATGAGGTTATCCTTTTTCTCATACAAGCTATAAGTTGTATTCATAAGCTATCTCAAAGAGCTTTCTAAAATATGCTGACAATAACTTATGGACGTATCATAAGCTCTTCCAACTACTTTCGCAAGTGTTTGTATCATAGGATAAGCCCAGATAAATTGTAAAAAATAAGCCATTCTAAACACACCCATAATTTATGATAGAATATAATAACATCATTTAAACCTTTTAGTTGACCACAGGAAAAGGCTCGGTGTTGATCTCTTTTGGCAAGCAGACCAATAGTCAACTGTAGTATAATGATTTTTTAAGTGAAAGTGTCAATCCACGAGAAACAGATTCAATTAAAACAAACAGTTTCTCTCAAACAGCATATGTACAAGGATATTCATTTGATTCATGATTGATAGTAATAATTTATACTAAATTTGTATGAAAATAATATAATGGCAGTAGATTGATTAAAAAAATTCAAAGAGAGAAGCTGGGATTGAATTTCATCTATTTCACTCGTTTGTAATCTGGATGAATATAAGCATACAACGTCTGAATTTACCAACATTGATGTAATACACAATATTCATTTATACTGATTTCTCACGTATAAAATTCATAAGACCGGTTCACTGGATATCGATTCCTCACATATCCAACAAACTGTCCAGCATTCTTTTCAAGTGTTAAAAACAATTGATATACTGAAATCTATTCCTAGCATCACAATACATCAAATATTTTTGTTCAGATTAGATTTTCAGAAATACTTTCTAGTCACGTCTAAAAATCATATTCACGAATCTATTGACCAGATAGAATCAAACTTTAAGAGCAGAACACAAATACCAATATTGAATAGAAACAGAAAGCTATATATAAATATCACCAGATTACATCCGGGTTCAAACCGATTACATTCAATCCCAAGAGATTGGCATCCTAAGAGAAGAAGAAGAGAATCCTTAAGCTAAAACTGAAGAAGAACTTTTCCAAAGCTTGTCAAAGTTGGTGCCCAGATTTATTTTTCCCTCATTCCTCACATTCTGAATCACAAAATATATATACTGCACGAATTCTCGCTTAAGTTAGCTGATTCTAGCTTAAGCGAGAAGGTACTTCATGATGAAGAAAGGTCATTCTCGCTTAAGCTAAATTATTCTCATTTAAGCGAGAATGATTTTCGAATTGATGGCTCTCTGGACGAATTTCGCTCAAGCGAGATCATTTCCGCTTAGGCGAGAATAGCTTGCAAAATGATATTCCTCTAATCAACTCTTGCTTAAGTGAGACCATTCTAGCTTGAGCGAGTTGTAGCAGAGTTTCATGTCTTTTTTCTCTGTTTCTTCATCTCTTCTTCTTCTTTTAAGCCATTTGCTTCTTCTCTCTTAATTTATCTGAAACATACAAAATGAGGATCAAATTATTTTCTTCTAATTAAAAACTCGGAAACATATGATTACATTTCATCTTTCTTAGATTAGGGAAAATTGATATCAAATATACACAATTTGAAACAAAAGTGCCATAATTCCATATGAAAAATTTACTACTTTTTGGCACTTATCACTTGGCTATTGTCATTGTTGTAGTTGTCTAGTCTTGTTCAATATTAGCAATAGAAAATTAACGCATTTGTAAACACCATGGCTAAACATTAATTCTGTCACAGAGGTACTTCAGCTCTAAAATATCCTTTTAATGAGTTTGGTATGCCACTGACACAAATATACTGGAAAGGAAGAACTTGTGTTCCCTGAACTATTGCCTGAGTCCATAACATCCAAAACAAGTCATAATTAGAGACATACGCCAGCAACAGCCCCTGAGCTACTACCATCAGGCCCAGCAGAAGCCATTTTCAACTTTCACAAAACAAATAGTCCGTACAGCATCACCAACCAAGCCACTAAAACATGAAGAATCACCAAGACAGAGTGCTCAAAGTGGAGAGGGTCGAGAGGGAGTGATGTTCAGAGCAGTGTTTGAAGCACTGACGCACAGCTGCAAACACAATTCAGAAATTAGAACTGAGAAAGTTGAGAGGGAGAGATGGAGAGAAAATGAGAAGTCTTTGAAGAGGGAAAGAGAATCTGGTGGGCTGATGGTGCTCATAGCGAGAGTAAGTCTGAGAATGAGAGGAGAATCTCTTATTAAGGCAAAAAGGGGTAGAAACACTTTTGGAGGAACTTGGTTGCAGAACATGACATGGAAAACCCAACTTATATAATTGAAAATCATCTGATACTCTGATCCCATGATCATGGTTCGGTCGTGTTTACAAGTGATTTAACACACAATCCAGCATGGGACAAGGCTGTGAGATCATAAAATCATTTGAATTCGCAATTTAACCAGCGATCTTGGCACCACAAAATCATCTGATTTCACACATAAGTTAACTTGAGAGTTTGATAACATGACGATATGTACAATAGAATGCAATTGAGAGAGTTGAAAAATGAAAGGGGTTGAAGAATTTTCTTGGTAAAAGTAATCAGGGTGACATGCTAGCAAGAAAATGGATACTTTGTAGAACATTTGGAGAGAGAAGTGAAAGAATTGAAAAATAAATGGGGGATGGAGTTATCTAGGTGAAAATAATCAGGGTGACATGCTAGCTAGAAACTGAGTACTTTGTACAACAATATAACTAAAAATAGTAGTTGGTGGCAATTAAAGACTAGTGCCTAGTGTTTCATATAATTTCTTAAGCATATTGTGATTGCGCACCCTAGCAGCCTGGATTGAATTTATGTTGCTGGAAGCAACATTCTTCAGCTGTGTTCCAATGTAAGTTCTTTCGTTATCTTTCCTAAATTCCTAGTAAAAGATATTTGTTTTTTGAGAAGCCATCTGAAAATCTTTACTTGCAAAATAGCAGTCAATGGCATTAAGGCTCATATTTATGGGGGCTCTAGACCCAACAATATTTTATTCTTGAATCTTGTTAGAAGTTTTAATTGTTGTCTGAATTCAGAGACAGCTGCGGATTTAGTTGCACAATTATAAATGCAGTAGGCCTTTGGTGTGTTTAATAAATTTTGGCTTAGGTTTACTTGGATATTGTTAGATATTGTTTAGATATTATTTGATATTGTTAAGATATTGTTAGATATTGGTAACCACAATATCAAACAATATCTTCTGTTTATTCTGTTACTTTCAGTTACTCTTTTAGTTGTATCTCTCTACTATAAATAGACCACCCTATGTGTGATTTATACACAAGGAAAATTAATTCCAAACCCTATTTTCTCTATATTCAACATGGTATCTAGAGCTTAAGGTTATCTTGAATTTTTTTTTTCCGCCTTTTGTCCACTGTTGGAGCCGTCCCACCACTGCTAGAGCCTCCCCACCGCTGCTGGTAAACTGATCCTCCACATCAGAAAAGAATTATCTTTGTCATTGAATTTTATTTGGTAGTGTGAAAGTGCATGTTTAGGAAAGTTCTGGCAAGGAAAGACTTGGTATTTAAGTGTGTCCATTAGTGACCCACCTCTCTTTTCTGGGAACTTACCTGGTGTACTAGTTCACGTTACTGTCACCGTTGCCGCTGGAGCAGTCACCGGGTCCGCCGCTGTCGGAGAATTCGTCGGAGTTTCATTTTTTTTTACCGGTGACATATGATTTTGCTTGTCTCGGTCAGGTGACCACCGTGCCATTGAGATCACCACTATCGGAGTTGGTCGTCCCATTGTCTCCTGCACCGTTTAGTCTTGGGTTTGTTCTCCCGCTCTTCATGACTTCTTCCACTATTTCCAATTTTGTTAACGATTCTTTTGTGTTGACATCCCATCGTGATGACCGGGCTCGCCCTCGCAAACAGGAAAAAGGGCGTCCTAAGTGTGAACATTGTGGCAAGCTAGGTCACAAGATTAACAAGTGTTATACATTACATGGTCGTCCTCCTCGATCCGTCGTAGTTGTTCGGACAAATCTTTCCCCACCTTTATCTGCAGGGGATCTTCCTTCTTCGTTGCATTCGACATGTCTGCTATGTTCAACAAATTTCTCGAATGGTATAAGGATCAACAGTCTTCTAGTTCCACTATATCTGTCACACATACAAATACATATTTTGCTGGTCTGACCCAATCATTTTCTCCTGGTCCTTGGGTTTTTGATTCAGGAGCCACTGATCATATTACTGGTAACAAATCTTTGTTCTCCTCTTTATCCTCTCCTAATCATTTACCTTCTGTTACATTGGCTGATGGCTCTAGAGTATCATCTCATGGTGTTGGAACGGTTAAAATTTTTCCTTCTTTAACCATTGATAATGTTCTTTATGTCCCTGGGTCTCCTTTTAACCTGTTGTCCATCAGTCGTCTAACTCGTTCTCTTGATTGTGTTGTTACTTTTACCAACAATTCTGTGTGTTTACAGGACCGGAGTTCAAAACAGGTGATTGGCACAGGATGTGAGTCTCATGGTCTTTATTATCTCCGTCCCTCTACACATGTTAGTACAGTTATGGAGTCTCCCTCTCTTCTTTATGCTCAGTTAGGTCATCCAAGTCTTGCCAAGTTACAGAAACTTGTCCCTGCCTTGTCCAACTTATCTAGTTTGGCGTGTGAGTCATGTCAATTAGGCAAGTATAGTCGTACTTCCTTTCCTCGTAGTTTCACACGTGGTGCTTCGTCCCCTTTTGCCGTGGTTCACTCTGACATTTGGGGACCTAGCCGCGTTAAGTCTACTTTAGGTTTTCAATACTTTGTTACTTTCATTGATGATTATTCCAGATGCACTTGGTTATTTTTGATGAAAAATCGTTATGAATTATTTCATATCTTTCAAACTTTTTTTAATGAAATTCAAACTTAGTTCGGTGTTTCTATTAGAGTTTTGCGTAGTGATAATGACTGTGAATATCTTTCTCATTCTTTTAAATAATTCATGGCTTCTCACGATATTTTGCATCAAACTTCTTGTGCTTATACACCTCAACAAAATGGTGTAGCTGAACGTAAAAATAGACATCTTATTGAAACAACTCGCACACTTTTAATTCATGGAGATGTTCCTCAACATTTTTGGGGTGATGCTCTTCTTACTGCATGTTATCTCATTAATCGCATGCCTTCTTCGGTTTTAGATAATAAAATACCTCATTCCATTTTATTCCCTCATGAACCACTTCATCCTTTACCTCTAAAAGTTTTCGGGTCTACATGTTTTATTTATAATTTCAGTTCTGGTCTGGACAAACTTTCTCCTAGATCACATAAATGTGTTTTCTTAGGGTTTACAAGATCACAAAAATGATACAAATGTTTTTCTCCTTCTCTTAACCGTTATTTTGTGTCAAAAGATGTCACCTTTGATGAGTTGTCTCTTTATTTTAAAAGTCAAACTTCACCTCTGTCTCCATCCAATCTTGTCAACACTTCTAATACATTTAATGTTCCCGTTGTTTGTGACCCTCTAACCGTGTCTTCTTCACCATTAGTTCCTCGCTCCGCGATCAGCCTTCTTCTCCACTCGCCTCTTCGATTTATAGTTCTCGAAACCAATCACAACCACCACCATGTGACTCTACTCAAGTGTCAACTACTCTGTCTCCTCCGGATCCGACACGAGTCCGACCTTCCCATTGCCCTCCGAAAAGGTATTCGTTCTACACGTAATCTCTCTCTCCATTATATTGCTTTGAGTTATCATCGATCGTCATTACCTTTTTATACATGTCTTTCCTCTATTTCTTCCGTGACCATTCCAAAACCGTCCGTGAAGCTTTAGCCCATCCTGGTTGGCGACAGGCCATGTTAGATGAACTAAGTGTTCTTCATAATAGTGGAACTTGGGAATTGGTCCCGTTACCGTCTGGGAAATCTGTTGTTGGTTGCAGGTGGGTGTTTGCTATCAAAGTTGGACTCGATGGTACTATTGATCGCCTCAAAGCTCGTCTTGTGGCCAAAGGTTATACTCAAATTTTTTGGTTGGATTATGGAGATACCTTTTCCCCGTGGCAAAGATGGCTTCGTTCGTTTATTTATCGCCATGGTCGCTTCTTCAACAATGGTCTCTTTATCAACTGGATGTTAAAAATGTTTTCCTCAATGGTGATTTGCAAGAAGAAATATATATGGAGCAACCTCCTGGGTTTGTTGCTCAGGGGGAGTCTTCTGGGATGGTATGTCGTCTTCGCAAATCCCTATATGGCCTAAAACAGTCTCGTAGGGCTTGGTTTGGAAAGTTTAGCAAGGTTGTTCAACAATTTGGTATGACTCGGTGTGAATCAGATCATTCTGTCTTTTATCGACACTCGAGTGCTAGATGTGTTTACTTGATAGTATATGTTGATGACATTGTTCTTACAGGTAGTGACAACCATGGCATCTCTCAGTTGAAACAACATCTTTGTCACCATTTTCAGACCAAAGATCTTGGCAAACTTAGATATTTCTTGGATATTGAGGTGGCACAGTCCAATGATGGTATTGTTATATCTCAGAGGAAGTATGCCATAGATATTTTGGAGGAAACTGGGTTGATGAGTTCAAAGTCTGTTGATACACCCATGGATCCCAATACTAAACTTCTACCAAATCGGGGGAACCTATATCCGATCCTGAGCAAGTATAGAAGATTGGTTGGAAAATTGAATTATCTTACGAGTTACTCGTCCCGACATTTCCTTTGCGATCGAGTGTGGTAAGTCAATTTCTTAATTCACCATGTGAAGATCATTGGAATGTAGTCATTCGTATCTTGAAGTATATTAAAGGATCTCCTGGAAAAGGATTGTTATATGGTTCTAATAACCATACAAGAGTTGTTTGCTACTCAGATGCTGATTGGGCAGGATCTCCTTCGGATAGAAGATCTACATCTGGATATTGTGTCTCCATTGGTGGTAACTTGATCTCATGGAAAAGTAAGAAACAAAGTGTTGTGGCAAGATCCAGTGCAGAAGAAGAATATAGAGTTATGGCCTCGGCTTCTTGTGAACTTGTTTGGCTCAAGCAATTGCTTAGAGAGTTACAATTTGGAGATGTCACTCAAATGACACTTGTGTGTGACAATCAGTCGCTTCTTCATATTAGTTCTAATCCTGTCTTTCATGAGAGGACCAAACACATTGAGATTGATCTGTCATTTTATTCGAGAAAAGATTATGTCTGGAGATATCAAGACCGAGTTTGTTAACTCAAGTGATCAGTTAGCGAGATATTTTTACTAAATCTTTACGGGGTCCTAGAATTGATTATATTTGTAACAAGCTTGACACATACGATTTGTATGCTCCAACTTGAGGGGGAGTGTTAGATATTGTTTAGATATTATTTGATATTGTTAAGATATTGTTAGATATTGGTAACCACAATATCAAACAATATCTTCTGTTTATTCTGTTACTTTCAGTTACTCTTTTAGTTGTATCTCTCTACTATAAATAGACCACCCTATGTGTGATTTATACACAAGGGAAATTAATTCCAAACCCTATTTTCTCTATATTCAACAGATATTTTGTAGAGTTTTTTATTAAGTTAATGTTTGGCAGAAGCAAGGAGGCTTATGTTTTATGGCTATTTGTTTTTATGCTGTCATTTCGTGCCTTCGGCTGGACTGAAATGATGGAATAGCTTTGGAATCTCTGCTTAGACTGAAAGACATGGTTATTTATCCACACGTTCTTGAAGTGGAAAGAAATATCAGCTACATGTTAAGCTAAAAGTTTCCCTGACAAGATGCTGAAATATATTTTCCAAGTTTTTGGGAACAGTGACACCTTAACGTCATGTTTCAATTTAATTTGCAAAGTCACCCTTTGAGAGAGTCAAAATGGTGCATGTTGAAAATTAATCTATGATGTGCATTTTGAATGATCATAAAATAAATGATGTGCATTTTGAGTTTTTGACTACCATGCTTGGCGACATAACGTTTCCATACTAGGAAATTGTGTGCTTTCTTTTAGTTGACCTGAAGTGAACATTGGGCAAGGTTAAATCTAGACGGTCACATTAATAGTAGGTCTGACTCATCACCTATTAATTTTTCATATGAAATTTCAAAGCATTGAATTAATCCTCTGCACGAGCACAAAAGCAATATATAAAACTCAGCTCCATCCAAAGAAGAGAGCTTGGCTCAAGCAATTGTGTGATCATTGTGTGTACGTAGTAAACCACTGATGTCCCCTTCCTATAATATCAAGACGAACTGCAATTGGGACATGGAGAGTGTCAACCTTTATAGATACTCTAGTGATTTGATTTAGATCAAGAAAAAATTTGTCATGAACCAACTATTTCCAGAGCTTAAGTTGTTAGGTGAAGACACAAATGTCTAAGATGCCCCAAATGTAAAAGATATTTGTGCTTGAAGCATGGAAAATACACAAACCAGAAAGCAATAGAGCTTAGCCTCGTGGTTTGTGTCCCTATATGTCCCAAGTAAACATTAATGCCCCTTGTACACTGTCTAGACAGACTGAACTTTGTTCCATTTTGAGAAAAAAATCTACAAAATGAATATATTATTAGGCAAATTGATTGATTCAGGAAGATTGTGTTCCTGTTGGTGAAACAGTTTGGTTTGTGTGCTGTATACGTTTGCAACTTCTTGGATGTGCTTATTCATTCCGAGGTCTACATAGTAATTTGCTTTGAGTGATTGTTAAATCTTTCTGTTATGTTAGTTTATTTTCAGTGATGACATTTTTAAACAGTTTAATTTTATATTTGCGTTCTAGTTTTGACCTTGAATGTCTGATGTAAGCGTGTTTTATTTTTATTTATCTCAGGATCACTTAGCATTAATGATGGAACTTCTTGGAATGATGCCACGTAAGGTAACACTATTTTTCTATCCATTTCTGGGGTCTTAACGGTTATGGTTCATTGATTCATGATTAACTTGAGTGTGCGAATTATAATTTTCAGATAGCACTAGGGGGGCGTTATTCCCGTGATTTCTTTAATAGATATGGTGACTTAAGGCACATCCGGCGGTTGCGATTCTGGCCCTTGAATAAAGTTCTCATGGAGAAGTATGATTTCAGTGAGAAAGATGCAAATGATATGACGGACTTTTTGGTTCCTATCCTTGATTTTGTTCCTGAGAAGCGGCCTACAGCTGGTCAGTGCCTTTTGCATCCGTGGATCAATGTAGGTCCACGTCTTTTGGAGCCATCTAATCACAACCCAGCTGCTGAAACTGCTGCTTTGGATCTGAAGAAAAGAGAAAAAGATGAGAGGGAGGCCATGGAGGCAGGAATGGGAAATATTGTTATCAATTCGGATTCTAAATCACTGATGCAATCACCATCAAAGAAAACCTTCCAGGGTACCCAGAAGTAGTTCATCTGGCAAAAGCTCTGTCCTGTGTGACTGTTTCTATGTTTTAACCGAGCCCCTGCATCATTTCTCGCAATTATTTCATGGGAATTGTTTTGGGGGCATGTTTATTTGTTGGGTTGGTTTCCAGAGCTTCTGGTTTGGATGGGATTGGATTTGTTTGAAGCCAGGCGTCAACTAAATCCTTTCAAGTAGTTCACATTGCATCGTCAAAAAGAAGTTGGAATACTGCAAGAGCTCTCACTACTAAGAATACCTTTATGATATACCCCCTGCCTTTTTATCATGCTTATGATAGGGTCATAGATGAGCCTTTGTCCATTGGTTCCATTGACTTGTTCATGAACACTGTTCATTATCATGTACTCTTGTGCTTAATGATATTCTTGATTTGAAAACGATATAGACATTTTCAGGATTTTCATTAACTAATTTTTAATTTTATAGTAACAGGAGTGTTGAAAGCAACGGTGAACTAAACAATTTCGTTGAAATCAAGGGTAGATTTGGTTCTTGTACTTTATTTATTTTTGGACCAATGGCAAGGGAAAATTAGTCTCATCTCATGCCGAGGTTACGGTCTGTCACAGAATCTAGTAATGAAGGAGCACTGAATCTAGCGATGAAGGAGCACTGAATCTAGCGATGAAGGAGCACCAAGTAAATTTTGATGTTATTTGATTGTGACACTTAAGTCAGTTTTCATTGGTTGAATTTTTTTTTTTCACGTTTTGTTTTCGAGATTGCCGTTATTATTATTTTTTCTTCGATACAGTAACTCTGAAATTATGGTTGAGAAACTAATTCTTGATTGAAGTATAAATTGTGTAGGACTCTTGTTAGTTGGGTCTGCGAAGTAAAACATGCTTGTACTTCAGAATAAAAGCGAATTACGAAAAAGGCCAAATCTTTCATTCAATCTCTATCTTTACCATCACACGTTTAAAATAACGAACCTGCCGATTAAACAGACATTTATTTTGTCGTGCCATGTGCACAAACCTTTTTCATGTTCTAATGCATCTGATTCTCATGCTGACGTAGTGAAAAACATCCCTTCCCATACAAACCTTAACAAAACTGTTCACTTCATATTATCTGTGTAGGAAAAAGAAGGAAGAGAGTGATAGAGAAAAAAAAAAAAAAAAAAATGAAGAAAGAAAAGCATGAAAAATATTAATAATCCAAATGATAAGGACAGAAAAAGAATATTGTAGTGTCTATGAATACCATTATTGGTGCTAAATAATAATTATTAATTGCTGAGCTTGAACATCGTTACTTTATTTATTTTCTCCAAGACGTGTTTCTTTGATTAATTAGCCTTCCTTTATCCTTAAATCAGTGGGTAAACATAAACTCAACGGTCAACATTCAATTATTGTCTTAGAACAGTTTGATTTGTGTATTCATCTCAATTTCTTTCTAAAGCTAAATACATTATTCAATGGACCCAATGATGGGGTGGGGTTTAGAAATGTCCTTATCAACAGGGACATTTTACTTATAAAAGTACTTTATAACATATATGACCATAATAATATAATAAATACATTGGTAAGCAAATTTCATTTACACAAATCAAGCCAAAAATGGTCATCTCCTACTCTTTACATGAGAAATAGAGAGAAACAAAAGTATAAAGTTACAAGTACAGCATTGTTTAAATCAATGTTCTTAAAGAGACTTTTACAGATCTTAATTTCAATTAATACCTTTCTAAATCCTTTTCGTAAAGGGACAAAGATGAATCTCATTATATTATTGTAGCAAAAAAGATAGGGTGAATGATAATATTGATTCCTGAACATAGTCACATGATCTTCTTGACGATGACACTCTGTACGTAGTACACGACAACATTCCAACTATGCATTCCGTATTCAATTTCCACACGATGAAATCCCAATCACCACACCAAATTTCGGTTCATTCAATTTGTGGAAACAATCCAAACAGACATTTATGACCAAAATCCCTGATTCCCATATTTAATTATTTATTTGGTTTTGTTCTTCACTTTTTTTTGTAGTGTTAAAAAATACAATTCATATATTAATATTCATGTAAGTCTTAAAACATAATGAGTAGATTCTAATATTTTAAGATGATCTCAACTTCTTGAGCTCCAATCATTTTATATGAGAATATCTGAAGAGGTATCTTCATCTTTCGAACATCCAAACATATAAAACAACTTGATATCATTTCATTATTTCTTTCTCTCTCACACAAATTTAATAAAACTGAAACCACTGTGACATGTGTTAGCGATCGCTAACAATCATCCACAAATTTTATTCTCACAAGCCTTATTATTTGACACTGTTGTTCTTGTTGGTCAACTATGCATTGACCACCATTTGTCAGTGCCATTGTCCAACACACTTCATTTTTATACAAGCTTTTTTTTCACACCATCTTGGATTTTCCTTTTGTTTGCTATGCACACTGCATGCAGTCTAAAACAGAATATTTCACTGGCTGGAACAGAAGCCTAAGAATCCCATGAACTCGTGGTTGTTTATCATTTGGATGCTGTTTTCAATGCCAACCACACCTGAAAGAAAAAACATGTTACAATTAGACACTTGAATGAAAAATGTATTACATTAATAAGAAAAAACTGTTGTCAACAATTAGGTGGTTGGTTTGCTTTACCCATGGTGAGAGCACTAGCAAATATGACACCTGAGAGGATGTATACAATGATTGATGCTCTCCCAAGAAATGCAACAAATCTTCTTACAAAGAACTGTCCCCAGAAGCCAGCCAAAATACAAACTGAGGTGAGGTATAATGCTGCAAAGAAATACAAGGAAATAGGCTAGAGTTATATTCATGTTATTAGTAAGATAACATCAAAATCAAAGCTCTGTAGATTTTTAGTATACTGGTCAAGCTAATTGAGAAAAAAAGATCAAAGGCTGAAGAGTTTATGTAAATTACCATAAGGAATGGGAAACCTCTTGAGCAGGTAGAATTCAACCACAGACAGAGATGAGGAAAACATCATCACAAATGTTGCTGTTGCACTAGCAACCTACAAGATGATGATCAAACACCTTGCAAGTTAAGTTTCTTGAACTGAACTTCAAATTTAACTGTTAGTTCAATTGAAAGGGGACATATATCTACCTGAGGAATGACACCAATCTCTAGAAGAAGAGGTCCCAAAACAAATCCACCTCCAGAACCAAGTAGGCCTCCCACAATTCCCCCTACAATGCCACACAATGCACAAAATGCTAGGTTCATAGCAGTCCATTCTATAGAAGCTCCACAGATGCATTCCATGTTCCCTGTGATCATCCTCCTTTTGTGCTCCTTGTACAACTTCACTGCTTCATAGCCAAACACCAAAAGTGCAATTGGAAACTGGAAGAGAAAGAGAACAACAAGTGCAAGCAAATTAGTCCAAACCCCCACTACATAATAAGTTGAGTTTATGTATTTTCTCTTATTCGTCGACTGACCTGCAAACCGAAAAGCACCCAATACCATATACTGCAGGTCTCTACATCATTCTGCAGGCCAAAAAATAGATATTACATCACACAATTGAATATACATGTGAATGAGAGAGAAGAAAGAGGGGTGGGGCACTTGCCTTGATGATTTGAACTAATAGGAAACCAGCCCACACCAAAATCAGTGCTAGAATCCTTTTCCACCTAAGGTTGAGACATAAAATTTCCTGAATAGTTTTCAGGTGAGAAAAAGGTTAAGTAAGCAAAATTTACCTACTCATTTCAGATAGTGCAAAATGAATAATTTGTCAAATATTCGAGAAGTTTACATACTATAGTTGACTTCTCTTCTTTAGGAATCAAAGGCTCATATTTTGTGTCGATTCTAACTGCAAATTTGAGGAAACATTAACATTAAACTCAAAACAGTCAGCGAGAAATCCTTAGTGAATAGAAAATTTCTATACTATTTATTTCTTTCATTAATATGGAAGGATGGATGGTATTGTGAAAGTGTACAAGCCTGTCTTATCTTCATCATGGGAATTAATCAAAGTCGCTCGTTGCTTGGTCTTTTCTTTCTGCAAAAATAGCAAACAAAAAGTTAATAAGTGGTTTTTCCCAAAAAGTAAAATATATAGGTTGATGGCTTAAGAGAATTAATGTTAATAGCCTCAAATCATGAAATTTTGACCTTGAGAATAGTCTCTTCCCTCCACATCTCCATTCCTTTGAAGAAAGACCTTGAAGAAGTCCCTGCAGAAAAATAAAAACCGATTTATTCTTCAAAAAATGAGACAAAAACATTGTTCTATGACTGTAGTTAAAACCGATTCATTCGAAGAAAAACATTGTTTTCTAATATACACACCTACGAAAAGAATGATGATGAGAACAGTAATAAGCCAGTAGGGGAAGACAACACTGAGAGCAACACCAACTGTGATTCCAAGCATGAGCATAGGCTGAAACAGAAGCGCCAGATCATAGTCTAATATAGGCACCTCTTTAGTTGGATGGGGAACTCTCACATTGTACCAAACCGATGATGCTGATGCTCCCATAATCATACCTGAACATTTACAACAAACAAGTCAATAACACCAAAACCAAAATTTTTCACAACTCAAAACACTGACCATGCCCAAGAATTATTATGAACAGTATCAGACCCCAATATAGACCCAGATTGACAACATTTCAACCATTTTCTGAGAAACCATAATCAAGAAAGTAGCACTGTATACAGAAAATTAGTCACAAGCGAAAGTGTTGATTATGTACATTTAGAAAGAGCAGCAGCAGACTTAGTATCAAAGCCAAGAAGCAGATTGAGCATAGGAACAAAAATGCCTCCTCCTCCAACGCCACCAACGGTTCCACATGCTGATCCAAGAAACCCAACAACCGTAGCCAATACAAGTCTCCAACTTGGCTTCAAATCCTACACACAGCAGAACACAATCCAAAATAATTCCTTGTAATTCAAAAACTAATCTTTTGAAATATTAAGTATTTGGAATGGTTGGAACAAAAAATCGATTTTTCATTATGAAAGTAAAATAATAAATAACGACTTCTGTGTTTCATAGTCTCTTCATAATTTCGTAAAATAGAATCAATTATGCTTGTTTTTGCTAAAGCATACATCTTTTTCCGTACATAGCCTCCATGATTGAACCTCTCAAGATATACAAAATGACACAACAGAAGACATATGATTACATGTTGGCACACAGTAACCTGAAAAGTGTTGAGAAAAGGTAAGTGCTTACGGGCCAAACTTGAAGTGTTCCAGAGACACGGGATGCTAACAAATTTGCTTTATGACCATCATGGATATGGTTGGTAAGAAAGAGCGCAGACAGAACAGCACAAGAGAAAGCAGATAAGAGATAAGCTATGAAGCTGAGTGAAGACATTGGCATGGTGATGAACAAAAGAAGCAACAACAATGGTCAATGAAATTTGTAGTATGTGTGTGTTGTGTTCCAGCGATATATAAGTGGAGGAACTGCTACTACTTGTCAGTCACGTGGCAGCTTGTTACTGGACTGTGGTTCATGAAAATCACTTTTGTCTTAATCTTTGATTGATTACTTTTTTACCTCTTATTTTCTTTCCATTTTTATCAAGATTTGGTCGACACTACCAGAATATCCCCTAAAGTATGAGGAATCCAGATTCATATCAGCAATCAAGGAGAGGCACTTCTTGATTTAATAGGAAGTTTTTGATTTTTAAAAATTTTGAGATATTTTTTCCTTCAAACTTGTCTTTTTAAGATAATGATATTCGTAATTTTTTCTTAAATAAGTTTTGTCCAGGTTTCTCTCCAAAGTATTTTGAAAATCTGATATTGAACAAATCTTTTTGTTTTGTTTTATTTTATTTTGTTTGTCTTTTAAGATAATAACATTCATAAATTATGTTTTTAAGAATATTTTTATCAAATTATTGATATATAAGTATTTCATGTAGCAAATCATATTACTCTAATTTGGTAATCAATTTGAAAAATACTGTAAAATTTATATATTATACTTTATATAAAGAAATTTGTATAAACATTTTTGGCAATATTTGAAACAATTTTTCTTAAATCAAAAGCATCTATTTTTTCTTTTCTGTCTGGACAAAATACTTTCCAGTACATTTTGTAAAATATCTGGTGTTATTAGAGATTAATTTCAGTCACCAAGTGTCACCTTCACCCTTTGCCTCTGTTTCATCGGAGAGAATGTGTTTATGGTGGAGTTTTTTTGTTCTTTATAATCATTTATTTTAAATGACCAAATATAAAAGTCAACCACAAATCATCACTAATCTTTATATGTATATTTTTTATTTATATATTAGTAAGTAGGCATGATTCTTGTAATTGGTTAACATAGTTAAATTAATCGCAACAAATTAATTGGTATTGGTAATTTAAATTATACAATTTTCCAACACGATTTTGCAAATTTAGAATATTGCCTTAATTTATTTTTTTAATTAACTTATTTTCCATCAAACACTATTTACAAAGGTATTTGTGATTTATTATTATTATTATTATTAATTATTAATTTTTCAAGAAAAAAATAGATGTAATAATCTTAAAAATTTGGAAGTTGCACAAAACTGTGTTACAATAAATTTAATTTCAAAATATAATAGCATTATAAATAAAAATATAAAAAGTCATCAAATTAAATATTATATATAATAGAATAATAATGCTGAAATTGTATATTATTAGATTATTGGATAATTAAATAAAAAATGTTATCTTTTAAAAAAAGGTAATATATCATAATTTCATCAAATTTAAACATTAATTTATTTTGAAAGTAAATTACATATTAATGTTTTTAAATTATATTATGACACTTTATTTTTTTTTTCAAGAGATTTATAAAAATCTTTCTTTTATTTTAAAAATATTGCACATGTTTCTATTTTTATATTTCTAGATTATATATTCATTTTCTAAAAGAATATTATTTTAATTATGAAAAAATAGAGAATACAAACATAATTTGAGATAAGGGGAGTGCAAATTCCTCTTAATAGTATACTATTAATATTATATAATCAGAATAAAATAATGAAAAATATGTAATAATCATGTTTTTAATTTTAGTAAATCATAAGACATAGTTGTAGAGTGTATATCACTATGATAAATAAGAAAATAAAAGATTAATTAATATAATACAAGAAAAGTTTGCATATAAAATAAAAGAAAAATCTGTGTATATTGAACAAAGGAAGGAAATTTGTGTTTCCTCATTAAATCTCTAAATTTTTGAACTAGTCTCCAAAAGTAACTTTTGGTATTTGGAATTGTTCCAATAGCTACAATTAATAATTTAATATAATACAAAAAAAACATACAAAAATACATGTAACTAATAAAAAAATAGGAATGATTTTCAAACATATATAATGTCATTTTTAAGATTATTAACTCAATATATATTAAAAAATTTACAATTGAAAAAATATAATATTTAAGTTATTATTTGAATTATTTTAGTTAGATAATATTGTAATATTTTATTTCCTAAAAGAAATGTAATATTATTTTAAATAAGAATATGCAATAATTAATACTTTATATTATATATAGAGAGATTTTTTATTTAACCATTGTGATTGAGATAAAAAAAAATGCAAAAAAATTGTGAAATACATCTAGAGATTGAAGAAAGAAAGAAAAATATAATTTATACTATATATAAATATATTCCTTTTTTTTAACCATTTCCAAAGTTATTGAAGAAAGAAAAAGAAAAGTGAGATACATTAAAAAAATAGAGAGAAAAACAAATTATGTTATATATAAATGGATTCTTTTTTATTTTTAACTGTGGTATAGTCTAAGAAAATAAAAAAAGTATTATATATAGTAAATGAACAAATAATGCAGAATATTTATAAAATATGAAGAAGAAAAATAACAAAATAATTTTTTTGAAAAAGTAATTATATAAAAAATATGGACATGTTTATATCAATAATAATAATAATATAATAATAACAACAAGTAATAAATAGATAAATAAATATTGTATATTATTATATTATTCTCATTAAAAAAATCTTAAAAAGAAACATAATATATTACCATTAAAGTTAAATTTTCTTTTAATTAATATATAATTTTCAGTTTCTTCTTTCATAGATTGCTTTCCTTGTTTAATGGAATTGTAAATAATTATAATTGTCTTAATCTGTTGTATCATTCTCTCTCCTTTACACATAGGCACTTTACAATATGGTGAAAGAAATCAAAATTGAATTCAATACTTTAGAGTTTAAATCCTAATGAACTTCCTCTTTCTCCTCAGCCACCTTCTCAATTGTGTGTGACGAGTTTATCACATCAAACCCTATTTTTTTTTTTAGAAACATTAACCTGAAAATTTTGTTTTATTTGTAAAATCTGCAGTTTTGTTTAGCTTAGGGATGTAAGAAGACGAGAGGATATAAAAAAAAAATTAGTAAAAAATATATTATTTAGTTAATGAAAAAAGTGAAAATAAATCGAAAATTTATAGATACATGTAATTGTTTTGGTTGAAATTACCAATTTATAGGTGATTTTGTCTGTGGAATAATAAAATTATTATTTTTAATATTTAATGAATAAAATAGAAATAATTTGGTATTAAAAATTAAAAAAAATTGTTAATTTCAAATTTAATATAAATTAAAAAAAAAATAGAAAAATATACATATCCGTACTAAACAAAAACCTCATTCATATGTTAGGGTATAACTAAGGAACATGAAAAAAAAAAGTAAAGAGAACTAAGAAAAAAATAAATAAAAGAAAGAGTAAAGTATTTTTATTAAGAAAAGGACATGAAAAAGAAATGAAACTATTTATTTTAATAAAAAAATAATTAAATTTAAATTAAATATTTATTTAATTATAAATTTATTTATATAATTTTTAGTTAATTTTTAATTAATAAAATAAAGTAATATTTTAAAATTAATATCTTATTTATTAATAATGTGTTTTCATATATAATTTTAAAATATTTTTATCATAGAATGATTTTTTTTAATAAGTTTTAAATTTAAATTAATAAAATGATATCATATTATGAATAAATAAAATATATATTATTTAATTTTTATAATTAATTATAATATTTTATTCAAATAATAATTAAAAAAAATATAAAATAGTTTTTTTTTGTATTTTTTTTACTTAAATAAAAGTAAATTACGTACGTCGTAATATATATATATATATATATATATATATATATATATTTTTTTTTTTTTCATTTTCATACTATCAATAAAAGGAGATATTATTTTCATCTGTAGTCACTTTTCTATATATCATTTTTCTGCAATTGAATGGAGTTAATGGTTACAGAGTAAATAAGTTTAGAAATGTTTTAACTCAAATACAAATATAAAATTAAAAAAATGTAATAAAATCATGCATAACAGAAAAAAAATCATGTCAACATTTAGTTTAAATCACATAATAATAAAATTCCTCCAAATTATTCATCAAAATTTAATCTAAACCAAACGAATAAAATTTAGCACAGTAAAATGATGATAACAAACAAAGACTTAGTGAATGGAATCCACAAATTTACATATTTAGCATAAATTTATTAAATAAGTATTTTTATAACAGATTTTTATTTTTAATTTAAACAAATTTAAATTTTGATGTTATAAATTTTGATATATTTTAATTATGAATATGAGTAATAGTTTGATATATAGATTAAAAAATGGAAGAAAAAACATTTATTTTACTTGATAAACTTTATTTTAAAGAAAAATATTTTACATATTATCATGTTTCATAATCATAACAAAGAAAAATGTATGCGTAAAAGTGATCATACGCATGACCAAAAACACTTCAACAATCATTTATTAGTTTGAGATCTTTAATATGTTTTATAATAAGGATTTCTTGTCCTTAGTGTTAAGTTTAAGAATTGAAATAAAACCTGAGTGTTATTAGAGTAATTGAGAGAAGTAGAAGTGGTCCATATTTAATAAATGTGAACAAATGCAGCCACACATAGAGAGAATAATCTTTGCAATTTAAGACTTTTGATGTGTTGGAAGAATCCAATAGTCTGTGAATGAAAAGTTTTGTCCCACCCTCTATGCAGCCATACTTACTTACTACTACTCAAACTTACCCACTTTCAAAGTTTTGGTCCTCCTCTTTATTATTTAAAAAATGATGTAACTGATTTTTTTATTTAAAAATTTCTATTACTTTAGTTTTATAAAAAATATATTTCGATACTTAACTAATTTATTTACGTTTTATTATTATTATTATTATTATGATAATACAAAAAATAATACATAATAATAGCGCACAATGAATGAATAGCAAATATTACAAACTTAAGAAAATATTCAAATGAACAATGATAGCAAA